TATATATATATATATATGTATTGTGAGATGTACATAATTATATCAGTTGATAAAACATTTTCTGCAAGCCAGATGAATTAAATATGAGAACCGATGTACCAGAGTCAAATTCCTCGTGTGTCCGACACACCAGCGCCAATAAAGCAGGTTCTGATTCTGAAAACGCAATTCTAATTACTTGTGTCGTTGTATCAGTCTATTAAGCAATGGCTTAATAAACTGCTCAAGTTATGCAAGTCAAAGCACCATCATATCAATATATAAATTCTGAAAAGGAGTTTAAAACGCAAGCCATCGAAAACTAACATTGAAACTGCAGCACGAAAACAGTCATGACAAGGACTGTTAGCAAACGCTGCGCACTCTATGACTGCTCGCAAAATATTTGGATTTCACTATTGTGTGCTGACTGTAAACACCCTTGATCGTGTTTACTATAGTCAATAATCTTTGTTGATTTAAGAAGAGGACGCCATTTTCCACACTGTTTTTGTTGTCTAACGAGTTAGCTTATCTGCTGTTAGCCAACCTTAGCTTTCAAACTGTTAGCCTCCCAACCACTTTGTGCAAAGCATTTAAACGACGGGCTCAGCTAAATACAACTATAGGAAGCGCAATAGCTTAAGTCGTCGTATTACTAGTTGCCGTTATCAAATTGGAATATAATGCAAGTTGGTTAACTTTATTTAATGGAGGTAGCCAACCCTTTAATTAACCAACACCAACGTTAGCTTGCTAGCTTTCCACCCATGTAACTAGCTATTAGCAACCACTACGTCTGTCATAATGCTTGCTATACCACACATTAGTGTCCGCCTGCTAGTGACAGCACAATGACAAAGAAGAGGAACAGCTGGACTCGAAACAATCTGACAAAGGCCAGTATCTCTGCATTTCTTGCTACCAAATATTACCGACATTAGCTCAAACCAGCTAACAACGGCGTTGGCTAACGTTAGTCCCCGATGACAACTGAGCAATCGTTAGCGTTAGCCAGTCAGACAACTGGAAACCACAGCTTATCGATTCATGTCAAATACGCTACCTGAGAGCCAGATGATGTTTTGGACTTTAAATGCCGCCGCTGTAGTATTTACACACGAAATCCGGGACAATAAAATGAGCTTGTGTTGGGGAACCACGAAAATTATTTCAACAATCCCGTCACGTCTCCTCCTTTCTTTCTTCTCGCAACTTCCCCTCAGAACCAAAACACAAACAAGCTCTTCCGCCCCCCGTGCCACGTCACACAGCACGTCTACCGTGCAGAAACCAGAACTCCACAAACCCTAAGGCCTTAAAGACAATTACCTTATTAAAATTATATAATTTTATAAACTGTTAAAACTCTTTTTTTTCTTTTTGTTCTGTTGTTGTTCTCCCCTGGCATATATCTGATATTGTTTACTTTTTTTTTTCAATGTTACATTTGACTATAAAATGGATTATTTCTTGCAACTAAAAAGGTTTTCTTGCAGTAGGCCTACCTACTTCTACTTCTTTTTATTTCTTATTTAATGGCAAGTATAAATTTTATGCAGATTTCTTCTACACCTTGCTTCCTAAATTGTCTCTTTAATGTTTCTCTTGCAGATGCATACTTTTGGCATTGACATAATATGTGGACTACTGATTCCTCATTCTGACAATGCTGACATAATATAGTCGGATGTTTACCTAATGGAAAAGTTTAATTAATCCAGTTTGTTATTACACTGTCTTCTCTATTAATTCCTTTTTCAGATTTTACCCTTCCTACTTCCCTCTGTCTTCCCTTTTTCCCCAAGAATGTTGCCATTCCTTCATAATATGGTTCCATATCATTCTCTTTGTCTCTTTTTTACTGAATAAAATTTCCATAATGTACTCCTGATTAATTGCCCCCTTAACTAGCACATCTGCCATTTCATTTCCTGTAACTCCTCTGTGAGCTGGAACCCACAATAATGTCATTAATATATTCATCTGTTGAAGTCTAAATGTTCATTCCTTAATTTCATTAACCATGTCCTGTATCCTCTGGGATGCGCATGACTGCGGTGATAATAATGCTGAACACACTATAACCTTGTTTATTTTTACATCTTCTATCGACTGCAAAGCTGTAGCAATTGCTAACAATTCAACTGTATACTGCCAAATCATCTGATGTTCTCTTTTTAATTGCCATTTTAAATTCTGGAGCCATAAGTGAGAAGCCTGTTTTCCCAGTACTTGGCTTTTTAGACCCATCTGTATAGACTGCAAAATAATTATTATACACTGATGCAATGTCCTCCGCTAATATCAACATACTGACCAACTGTATCTTTATCTTACTCATAGCCAAGAAATGTAAATCAACAGAATCAATTGTCTTTTTGGCTTGTGACCCAGTAAAATAGAGTCTATTTCAGCCCCTCACACAGGTCCACAATAAGACTATAGCTTTAGTGTGGATTTGATTTGTGAGCAATACAATAAAAGTGATTTTTCCTTTCCATTCAATTTTATTTGTTTTTATTTATTTTCATAATTTTAGAGCCCTGAAGAGATGACCTATCAGGTATTTTACAAGAAAAAAAGCCCAAACTATTTACATAAAATAATAATCAGAATTTTGTGTAACAGAAATCTATTTGTTCAGTATATAAACGGTTTGAAAATAATAAGAAAATGGTCACCTTTATTCCCGGAAGCCCAAGTTAACATATTCAAGTGTCTTTTGTCTTGGTTTGTCTAACCAACAGTACAACTAGCAAATTATGGAACACTGTGAAATGAGCAAAAAGTCACATCTGAAAAGTTGGCACTATTGATTTTTCCCTTTTTGCTTTAAATATGATTTAAGCAGTTAATTAGTTACCAAAATTATTGCCAATTAATTTTCTGCTAATCAACAAATCAATTAATCTTCTTAATGACAATTTAGATCGAGAATACTGGCTGTTTTATGGGTGTCCTGGAAAATAATAAGCCTGACATGTAGGCTATAATGGGGATCAGTAGGGGCCCAACAACAAAAACTTGCCCTTGGGTCCCAAAAGAGATTAATCTGGACATGGGCTGAATAATTAATTATGAAAATTGTAATGATGATCGAAGCGATTACGACACTTCATTTGCTTCTATGAAGTGATAGAATTGTAGTAAAGTGACAAGCCAAGGGATGGCGGAATAGCAACATAAGAAAAATAAAATAGCAAAGAAGAAGAAAAAGGCTCCGCCCTACTCTGCATTTGTCTATTCCGGAAGAAGTCGTATCAGCACGTTTTATTTGGTGTGGAATATATGTTTTTAATCTCGTGTCAGTGATGTGCTTTATTCTATACTCACGACATTTTATCTAATGGTTGTTAGTTTCATGTAGCTCACAAAGACTGCCATCGAACAAAGTGAGCATTAGCATCCCGTCATGGAGGAGGGGACAGTAGCGACACCAGAGGAGCTGCTGCTAAAGCAGCACCGCAAGGAAAAGAAAGATCTGCAAGGTAGCTAGCTTAATCTGTTTCCAACCTTTCCAACTATGTAATCCTTACTTTAGCCTTTGCTGTCAGTTTGCTTTTATCACGGTTCTCGTTTTAACTCTCGGAATTTAGTCCAATGTCACCACTAGTAACAGTAGTAGCATCAGTCATTTGGAGACAAATATGTAAACATACAATAATAACAATATTCATTCATAGGTCATTAATAGTTTATTTGCACAGTGTGTTTTTCAGTAGTAGTTTTTAGTACAAGGGTAAAAGGCAGAGAATCCCAGAGAGCAGCTAAGTAAACTATCTTTATGCTTTGAAACTGTCATACTTTGCTCGTTGATATCAAAATATATCAAGCCATCAGCTGTTGAAGGCAAAGTCCTATATGACATCACCGATTGGGGTGGGACCAGAAAATAACGAGATTTCAAAGTTGTATTCATACGCTCTTTTCTATACCTGCTTCATGGACATAAAACAACTGGTTATGTTATTCATTCAATATTTTCTCCACACCACACCCTTGCATTACTGCATTCTTGCTTGGAATTTACTTGTATATAGACATTGTATGGCCAAGTCAAGACAAGTTATCACAAATTTGTCTACACCCTCTGTTTAGAGTACTGCTGTTCATTGTTTCTTTTATGTATATATGCATCTTGTGCTTCATTTTCAGCTAAAATCCAAAGCATGAAAAATGCTGTCCCTAAAAATGACAAGAAAAGGAGGAAACAGTTAACAGATGAGATTGCCAAGCTGGAGGCTGACATCAGCAACAGACACGAGGAGGAATTCAGGCAACTCAAATCTACCACTGACACAAAGGTAAATGCCTGCATTCAGGCAGGAGACAAATATCATGGCGGTGCATTGGATTTAAATTGAAAAATAAGCAAACACATTTTGCTACTGATTAAAATGTGTACAGATTGCATTTTTTCACATTTCTATCATTGTTCATTCTTACACAAAGTCTGTTTATTAGATCAGTGTCAATTTGCAACATAGCCAAAGCTCTTCTCACTCATCTTTGTAAGGTGGAAGAGTTGATAAATGGAGCTGAGACCATGAAGGTGGAGGGTGGAGAGCAAGAAGACATCCAACAACTGCGAGTAACCAAAGCTCAGAAGAGAAGGGTGAGACACAGGTTCCTTTGTAAACAGGACACTTTAAGTGCTTCTGTTTTGGCCACACTAATAACTGTTACTTACCGTCGCTGTACAGTGGAAGTAGGACACTTCATGCTAATTCTGTAGCATCTTTATTTACCAGAATTCCCATGAAAAAAGCACAGCACTCTGAATAATATACAAATATTGCTTAGGCCTTAACATTTTGGTTTGTTGTCCCTTTAAATTCTTTGCAGTCATGGCTCTAAGAACTAATGAAATATCTTATTTAAATGTCCGTCTCTAGGACAAGAAGGCTGCCCAAGAAAAGGAGAGGGAGAGCAGAATAGCAGAGGCAGAGATGCTGAACCTGCAGGGTGAGAGACACCAGGAGGGCTTGAGGCTAGCACAGAAACTTGCCCAACAACAGCTTCAGATCAAGGAGATCTCTTCTGATGGCCACTGCATGTACCGTGCCATTGAAGATCAGCTGGCACAGCGATCAAAGGTACATATTGTTTAGTGTACTTTGAATACCTATCAGAAATGTGATAAGCAAAATTATACCCTCTATAGTCACTGCTACTGTGCTATTTAGTTACTACATTTGGACATTACACAGTACTGCTACGACAGACTCACTTTTTATACACAGATAATTCTGTTCTGTTTTATTCTAGCCTGAGTTAACCATGAGTGTGAAAGAACTGCGGTCTCGCACTGCTGACCACATGAGAAGCCATGCTGATGACTTCCTGCCTTTCCTCACTAACCCCACCACTGGGGACATGTACACACCAGGTAACACTGTCACGTTTACTTTGGTTTTCTGAAATGCTATTAAAAAAAAGGCTTAAAATGGGAAGCATAGATATTCCAATCAGACATGCTTTTAGAAAGTAACTACAGTATGTGTAAAGTACAGTATTCATACAAGTTTTTGTGGGTTTATTGTGTTTCCAGATGAGTTTGAGAAATACTGCAGTGATGTGGAGCACACAGCAGCTTGGGGTGGGCAACTGGAAGTGAGTTAAGTTCTGTCACAGTGAAACATTGTGTTGTCGCTCTTTGTACTTTACAGAAATTATTTTCTTTTTCTTGTCTTAACCAACAGCTGCGAGCTTTGACCCAAGTTCTCCATTTGCCAATAGAAGTGATCCAGGCTGACTCCCCAGCTATACGAATTGGAGAAGAATATGCCAGTGAACCCATTACCCTTGTGTATGTGGTGCACACATTGTTATATTAATATAACTTTAAAATATACAGCAACTTAGTAGAAAAACCTATAAAATTTGAAAATTGAGCATTTACATTAGACAGTATAGTTGCATTTACAACAGTTAATGTTGTAGCAAACCTGCAAAGCATTTATTGTGGTTTTATCCTACTGTGAGTCTGAATGTAATTATGTAAAGTAAGTGTTTATGAGGGCTCACCAAAAGATTGCTCTCATTTAGCACGCTGTTGCTCTCACCAGTTGAGATCATATCACAGCTTGGGTAACTGCTGTTCACACATGTATTTGTACATGTACAGTATGCCAATATAATGTTATCACTTTATTTTCATGCAGCACACAAAGCAGCTGTAGACAGACAAACCTATACTGTTTAGCTCTAATATATGCATAAACTATATTAAATGACAGGTTCTAATAGAGGTTTTCAAAATTTGGAGATTTTATCTCAGGGTCCTTGCCTCACAATATGCTTTCTCACTGTTTGCAGCTATATGCATCATGCCTATGGATTAGGAGAGCACTACAATTCTGTGGAGCAGCTCAAGGACCCAGCCGCTGCAGGGGACAGCTGAGTGTTCAAACCAGTCACACTCACAGGGCCTCTACATACAAATGTATTTGGAGGGTGGATTGTGCAAATGAAAAACAGCATAAAAAGAAACCATGTTAATAAATTTACACTGGACGCCCTCGGATCACCAGTCTCCCGGCAGCCCATTTTGGAAAGCGCTGGTATAATGCATTCTTTTTAAGCAAATCCACTTGAGCAGAAGAGAATGTAAGAGCTGTTGGTCATACTTGTCACTCAACCAAATGTCACCCAATGGCTGTTTAACTTTTGCAGTGTTTGTAGAATGAACCGAGCTGTTGAATCTGTAAATCATAGCAATGTTATATAAACACATACAATAATAATGAGATTGACATATGTAGGAAATATTAAAGGTTGCATGCATAAAACGGTTAACACCTGCATCATGTCTGCCTTTGGTAAACTGTACAGACATCACACAAAGTATTCACTCCAGTATTTTTAGTCAATCAGTAATGCTGGAAAATGCTGTGCAAAGTGTTTTGTGCAAATGGAAACATCCTACAATATTCAGCTGTCACCATGCTGGGTCGCAAGCTCTTAAAAGCAAACTCTTGTCTAAGTCATTTGAGCTTGCTCAGATATGTTAACAGAAGTCATGACTACACTGTACAAACTCAGTAACATAGGAATTCCAGTTCAGTTCCTACAAAGGAACGGAAGGAAATAAAGGAGACATGAAAGCAAAAGATGGATTAAAGCAAGTAACTGCAATAGAGATGCCACTTTGTAAGACAGAGGCTCAAACATTAATATAGTCATGGGCTGTTAGTACCTGGCAACAAGGCTGGGATAAAGAAACAAAGAAGACATGTAAATGCCACATAGCCAAAAGTCCTGAAAGGAAATCTCTTTTGGAGCAACAGGAAGGAAGAGAGAATAATCACTACAGTAGGTTTAGAATAGGACACACAATCAGCTGGCATCTGTGATCAATCAGAGACAGTACAGCACCTTTTACTTCACTGTAGCTAATATACGGCCTAACTGCTAGGTGTTGTATAATAAATTACAAATATTACTGGAAGGAAATAAATCACAACTATAAGAGAGTTACTATCAACAGCTGTTAGGGTGGAACTTTCATTCTGTGTGGTCACATCCTGGTGGTCATGTGCTAAAGATAACAGACATCGGAGACATTTATACCACAGTGTATGCATATTTCAAACATGAACGGTCTAAATTGCTGTTCATCTCATTCAAGCTTATCAAAGTAAACAGCCTGAAAATGGGAACTACCGTTCACACAGCATGTAATGCAAACTTCATCCTTTAAACAACATGAAGCAGGACAGGGGTAATAGACAAGAATTAGCCTAGATACATCATATGGGGAATTATTTAGGCAAATGTAAAGTTAATTGTCAGCCGCACAGAAGAGGGCGCTAATGCGATGAGCATCGGATGCAAACGTACAAGAACTAAAGAAGAAGAGGAAAAGGCATTTTGTCACCATGGAAACCTTAAGGAGAAAAGACAGGTATGTTTAGCAAATGGCTGACTCAGTGATTAGGGCATTATATGGCAAATCAACATCTCTAAATTTGAGTTCCAGGAAAATAAAATACATTCCTAAGTGTGTTTCCAGATTAACAAACCTGTCAGTTCTCCTGTTGAACAACAACTCCATCACTGCTCTGCCTGGTGAGCTTCTCTCTCTACAAAACGTGAGTCTAAGAGCTGATCTGCTTGCTGGAAAATTGCCAAGGTAGCACTTTCATTGTTTTACACATCACACAGATTTGTGATTAAATAATTTTCATTTTGCAATGCCTGCAAGCTGGCGGAGCTGAATTTGGGAAATAACGCCTTGAAGGAGGTTCCTGCTGTTCTGGGCCATCTGGAGTCCTTGAAGAAACTGTATCTATTCAGCAATCAAATTAAGCTAGTGCCACCTGAGGTGATAGGTACAGGTGACAGGTTCTCACTGTTGTGCATTATTAACACCTCCAAAGATTTGTTAAAAAAACACCATACAGCTAAACACTAATTCCTATGTTGTCATTTGTGTTTTACAGATGGCTTACAAAACCTTGTTGTGCTCAATTTGAACCACAACCAGATTCAAAGACTTCCGCCAGAAATTAAAAGGTAGGCTGCATTTATGGCACCATTGTGTCCATGATGAAGCTTCATACCTGCAGTAATTGGTACTGAAGACGCCTACAGATTTAATATTTGTACATGTTAAGCCTGACCTTGTTTTCTTCTCTGAATAAATGGTCAACTGATGGTCACAAAGGGGTTAAAATAATGTGCTTCTAACACAAATGTCCCTTCAGCCTCACTAAGCTTCAACACCTCAATGTGCTGGACAATAAACTGGAGGAGGTCCCTGTTGAGCTGGATCATCTCACCAAGTTGTCTGAGCTAAACTTGACTTCCAACAACCTGGCTTGGCTACCTCAGCATCTGTACCAGTGTAAAGACCTAACTAAACTCCATGTAGCCAGAAATTGGCTGACCAGCCTACCAGAGGTGGATATTCACTGATGTGATTCTTAACTTCTCAGGAAATATGTTTGTCCTGTGGCTACATAACCAAACTTATTTCACCCAGGGAATTAGGGCCCTGGCAAAACTCCAGGTTTTGGATGTGGGTGGGAACATGCTGTCCATGTTCCCTGTTGAGGTACAGTATATATAATTTATTATCTAATTTAGGGCCACTATGTTATGGAAAAATGTAACAAATATGGAAATCAACCTCCCTTTCTGCTTTGGGTGCCACTGTGTAGTTTCACCTGCTGCCCCTGAAGGAGCTGTACTGTGAAGGCAACAGATTTGTGCAGTGGGAGCCAGTGCCATCAGCACAGGACGTAGAGGTGCTTACATTAAAGGTACCTGCCCTTGAAGTACAGCATACAGAACACTTAGCTGTATTTATTTCACAATATGCCTTTGTGTTTCTTCAGTAACACTGTTTTGATGTATTTACTCCTCATTATTCTTGTCATCCTTGTATCTCAGGAGCTGGCTGCCAGATTTGTCTTGCGGGAGGACAGGAACAGGTTCTCTCTGGTCCACAGGATGCTTCCACACTACCCATACCTTACTGCCCTCTTGGCTAATTGTGGCTGTTGTGCGCTCTGCCTAGACCCCTTCCTCACCACCTGGCTGGAGTGTGTGCATTTTATCAGTCTGAGGAAGGTTGGATGAATGTTTTTGGCTAACTATCATTGCATTATGGTATTATATTAAAAGATTTTTTTATAAAGATTGTCATACCTGTGATACCTGGTACAGGATATATGACTGCATTAGTAATACTGCACTAAAATGTGTTATGTAACTGCTCTTAAGATCAAATGTGCTTTGCCATGTTTATGTGTGTTACAGGACATGAAAATGCGGAGTGCGCAGACTGTTCCAGTGCGCGCCCGTCTTTGTTCATACAAGTGTTTTAACACAGATGGACACTCCTACTATGGTGTTGCTACAAGATAAATACAAGTTCATTAAAAAGGTACCATCCAAAATCTCAGTAATTATGCCATATATACTAAAACTGTGGAAACAGATCTATTAATATTCATATGGTATAATAAACCTTGCAAAACAATGCATTTGCCACAATATTTAGATGTTATTTTGCAGCAAGATTATGAAGCTTATGTCTTTTTTGTCATAGATGACATTGGAATCTATGGTCACTAGGTGGCAGAAAATGAACACTATGATTTGTATGTTTAGTTGGACCCTGTTTCATTGCTTAACACCTGATTTATATAAACCTTTGTATATGCATCAATAGCTTTACCACACCCATTTTTCCACATTGGCTGGTCAGTGCAGGTATACAACTGCTTTCACATATAGACAATTTCATCAGGTTTGTTCAACACAAAGCCTATACGAAGCCTTAAAATTCTAGCAAAATGAGAATAAACTGTTTACTTAAACTTTTTAAATCTACTGGTATCCTAATCCTATGTCAGTGCTAATGAAGGTGCACTAAGAGTCCAATGCTATCTCCATCTCCAGCCAGTGACATCTCTTCCAACCTTCCAGACAAGAGATGAGATACAAAGACAGAGAGAACTTCATTTCTAGCAAATTAATTTCCCATCCACACCTCCAGAGCTTGCTAGCTCATTCGCTAGCTGCTGCGGCCGCTGCTGTGTGTGTCTACTGAGTCGGAGCCTCATGCATAATGCATCAGGTTTAATTGCAAACCCAGAAACTAATGACTTTGGACTGGTTAACAGCAGGGGAGCCATACATCTCGAGCAAACTGAATGAAAAATCAGCTCAGAGGAGAGGAAAAAAGGAGCCTAGCCCCTAATTGATGAATAATTGAAGCGGCGAGCTACAGGGCATAATTGTGACATTTTGTTTCAATCAATTTCCAAGTGGTGTGGGCGAAAGTGCACTTAAAGGGAAAAGGCAATGACAATGAATGAGAAAGAAAGAGAGATAGAGTGTGTGGTCGGTGATGGAAATGGACATTGGGTCTTCAGTCACTGCAGTGACATTTGCTGGGGCTGGACTCTTTCAAACACAAAATGACTTTTCTCTACATCTCCATTGACCTTTGTAGGTTTCCTGTTAAACTCCTGTTATACCACTGTTGGGTCACTTTTTCATTTCCAGCCAATGAATCCATATCCCTTTAAAATGATTTCTTTGGTTTTGTTTCACTGAAATTATTCATTTTTGGCACAGAACAGCGAGGTGGACATATGCTTAAATGCCCATATTTGTATTTTCTGTAAAGTCTAAATTGCTTTTGTTGTCAGGTTCGAGAGGTTACTTTCTGTTAGAGAGTGAGGGCATCGGGCCAAGTCAGCCACTGTGGTAGAGTGGAACAACACACCAGTCTGCCATGGCATCATTGGTGTGGACTGAAAGAAGCCTGGGGGTCAGACAGACAAGAAAGGGGAAAAGGCAGGGGCACTAGGGCACAACTTTGCCATTTGCCCTCTGTAGTATGAATTTAGGTTTAATTTCCAATAAACACTCAATTCTTTTTGAATTTTCATATTCCCCGTTAGGTTCAGCTTTCGTTGATTATAAATGCAGAGCATTTCACAAGGGACGTTTTGAATGGTTATATCATTACAGACTTTTCTGTTCTGCCTCCAGCACTGGAAGAGAGCCGCATGCTTAAAAATCTACACTCAAACTTTTTAAAGACTTAATTACCATTACTACGATTACATGGGTGCCATTTTGTTCTGGGGTAGATTTTCCCATAAATGATACACAACTGTACCAAATATTCAGTAGATTTACATAATAACCTCACAATGGAAATTCAGAATTAGATTTTAAGGGGTGTATGAACATGGCTAATAAATAGGTTGTTTCAATCTGCTGGCACCATACTAATGGGGGAAAGGCCAACAACACATGCCTTTTTGCAGGCAGCAGATGTTGGGTCCTGAAGCAGTGGAGCGGCAGCAGGAGCAGCAGTAGTACTCGGTGGCTCAGTGGCCTTGAGACTTGTCGGTCTGGTGTCTCATGCCTGTTGTCAAGCTTTCTGCATGTATTCACACATACAAACATCTTTTAACACTCTGCAGAAAAGCAAACACAATTCCTCCACCCACGCTACATTGATGGCACATCATCAAGATAATTTTGCCCCAATCGCTTTGTTTTCATCATGTCATTTCACAAAACACAGTCACACTCCCACATAAACACACTTTTTCCATATCACTGAGCAGTCCCTTATGATTACTATATACAGAGAGAGCTGCGTTTTTGTACAGGATGTTTCAAAAAACCATATGCAGCTTGACTGACATCTATGGAAATGAGGAGGCTGCATCCTCTAAGGAGACGCCATACGGATGGGAGCAGCACACTGACGAGAGCGTCTACAAAAGGCACTTGTAAATTCCTGACATGTCTAGCATATGTTAATGAGCCATTCTCTCACTCTGATATAATTATTGTGAGGGGATATTGCTTCTGGTGGAAATACCTATCTCACATGGCATGGCTACCTCATGGGGGTGAATAAAGTAAAGAATGCTAAAGTATTTACCATGCTTGGAGGTAAAGAGAGTGATGTTGGCAAAGTCACTCAGGATGATGTATTGGGGAGAAGGCACGTTGGGCTCATTACATACCTCCTTTGTTAAAGCACTTTTTGTTGTTTGCTAGGGGGGCATTTAGTCTGTCTTGTCATTTGGAGCACGCACTTAGGATGGTTAGAGGAGCCTAGGCTCACTTTGCACCTTGGAGCTAGAAAAAGCAAGTGGCACATTGGCTAAAAACAGAATATAGGATGCAAGCTTTTATTGTAATAGATATGTTGAAAATGTGTGCATCTGCTGCTGAAGATCATAAGCAGCCTTGTCTCTGTACTTTTTGGTTCTTTGATATCGTAGATACTACCATCTGTATTATCAAGTCTGTGTATTATATGTTAAAGCTTAATACATCACCTACATTATCTGTGGTTGTGTATGAATCCACACTTTTAAGTTTTATATTATTACACTTAAGTATTTGCAACTGCTTTCACTAACAAACACCATCCAGCATTACATCTCAGCTGCAACACTCATTTTCAGTGATCCCTCAAAGCCATGATTGCAGTCTTCAGCTTAGAAGAATGATTTGACACTGCCTCACCCTGATTTCAACTCCTATCTCCTCTGGCCAACAGTAGAGGTGCTGTTAAAATGAGTAGCATTGATTGCTGAATTAGGGGCCTTGTGACTGGAGAGAGGGAGAAAAACAGCCAGTCAATAATGAGCAGTAGGACAGTGTCATAGCCAAGAGTGTGCACCACTCCAATCAGCAGAATCTATTGTCGTGCATCGCTGCCCATGGCAGATCTTGGTATCGAGCCACTGGCAGAGTACCAGGGTATTGTCTGGTTGATGGCTGCACAATCAATTTTGCTGTGTTAGTGATGATTGCGGACACTAGGGGGCAGTATGAGTCTCTGCTGGCTCTTGAGCAGATGGGGAGAGATGCGCTGCTGCACAGCACTGAGATATGCCTGATGAATCAAAGAGATAGAGCAGCTAATAAAAGCAAGAACAGCGAGCTGTTATTAGAATTCAAAGCTTAATTGAAATCTAAGTATGAGATCAGAGCACTGTGTGACTGTTAAATCTAATAATCACAACCGAATATGAGAAAAGGTGAAAGTTTCCTTACACTTGATGCATTACAGTAGAAAAGGAGATGGCAAAGACACCTGATGTACAAGACAATAACTGTGTTATCTCTTTATCAAAATCAACATATCCAACAAAAGAGCTTCCCTGATATAGATTAGAAGGTGAGAAGAAATCATCTCGACAAGCTAGACTTGTAGTGCACCAGACTGTACATACTAGTGTAATAACCCAGCTTCCTCCCAATCTATTCGATTTTTCCACATCACTGAATATCATACACACATAACAGTCTGAACAAAGCAAGTAAACTGTCTGTCCTTTGAGGTTGCAAAGAAGTGATGCCATCACTGAGCCATTCCTCATTAGGGGGAGTCCTGAGACAAGAGCCCGGCTCTCAGGGCAGCAACCTCTCTCTGGCAGTTCCAGGTCAGCACCAAGCACACGGTGAAGACATCTCTACCACAGCACATTTGTCGAAGAAACAAGACAAAAGCACTACTAGAACTTCAAAAGAGCAAATAAATCTTTAATCTTGAATGTCCTTGAATCTCTTTGAAAGTTTCCTCTGCTTTTCTGTTTGTTTGGAAGAGAGTGACTGTTTGTTTATTTGGGGAACAAAACCGGAGGGAAAACCAGAAGCTGAAAGAGATGTAGATGCTGCATTATGTCTTCTGATGTTACTAAAGATAGTTCAACTCAGTTGGAATAGTTTTTATTGTGTGATATTCATTTCTGTTTTTCCATGGTATTGACTTTAATTAGAAAATGTAAATCCTCAGATGCACATGTATGTGAATATAAATATTTATAACGTTACCTTTCTGATTCATTATGCCAAATAATCTGGTATATTAAGCTGGGCGGATACAGTGGCGCACCAGCCAAGTCGACCCTACCAAGTCTTACAAATCCAGCTTCTCTCTATCATCATTATGATTGACGGTACACAATCTGAAAAACCAGTTTGAGGTCATGTGATGGCCACCGGAGCATACCCAGTGTACCAGAGCAGCAGGCGGGTGGGCCACCAGGTAGCAGCATGGTCTCCAGATTTTTCTAGAACACACAGTGCCTGTGGCACTGCAGGCTTGGCTGGCCAAACATCTGTCTGGGATGTGAATCCTGGCTGGATGAGCGGACCCACAACTCAAGCAACCAGCCAAATGAATGTCCTGCACCCTCCAATGTCCTTCAGGAACATGTGGGTTAATGTGTGTGTTGTCTCAGTCTGACTACTCAATCATGTCTTAAGTTTTCTAAAGCTTCCAGTAGTTCCTCTAGATAAAGACTAAAGTTGCTTGAAGTTAATGCTTCATTTCTTGTGAAGCAAATGTTTTCTACCAACATCACACAAGTAGCTGTTGCCTACACTGACAAAACTGAAACTAGAACTTATTTAATTTTTATTTATTGCATATTCCAACTGCATATTTGCCTTTGTTGCTAACTAATATTCCAAGTGCTTTAGTTGTAACATTTTATAATGCTGAAAATAAGGACGGTGTATTTGGCACTCGGCTGTACTTCCTAGCCTTCCATTTCAAGCACACCTGGTTTTGTAAAGAGACATGACAAGAATGAATTTCCTTAGCACAACAAATGTGGGCTCTGTATAGATACACAATGGCAACCTGCTGATGTTTAACAGATAATGCTTACCATGTTTACTTAGGTTACATTTTCTTAGTAGTGTCAAACACACAGATATCTGATGCTGGGATGCTTTTAGATTTGCAGGTATTTGGCCATAAAGTATGATAAATTTGCATTTTAACCTGATGACAGCTCAAGAAAAAATATTAATGGATCATTAAAGTCAGTAGGATTTATCCACTGACAATGAAACTTAAAAAAAAAAAAATTCATGGCAATCCATCCAATAGTTGTTGAAGCTGGAAAAAAAAACTCTCATCCAAGAGGCTTCATCAGTTCAGGCCTCTTGGATGAGAGGTGAAGCGTCTTCGACCTAAATACCTAGTCCAGTCGATTTATCTAAGTTTTTTCAGCTTACAGTTGTTGAAATATTTCAGTTTGGATCACAATAGTTTAGTGACTGACCAACAAAACTGAATTGAAAGCGGCCATGAGCTCACTCTACGTGCTTTATATACCACAGTCATTTTTAGTGATTCCAACTACCTGTCTATCTTGTATATACAATTTTGTCACATTTTAAATGACATAGGCTACAGCAGTGTAGGTAGAGAAAAGAGTTTTACATTTGTGTGTTCAGAATGACAGGGACCTGCTGTGAATCAAGAGGCAGCAATCGTAACCTTGCCAAGATAATTGAAGAAACTTTGCAGCCATTGTCATGTCAATCAAATGCCGTTTCCCTGCGAAGAGGGGTAAACATTTCCAAGATAATTAGAAGCGAGTTCAATTTGACAAAAAGAGACCATTGCATGTGGGTTTAAGGAATTCAAAACACTGGGTGTGGGGCATCACTTTTGTGTAATTAGCACATGTTGAACTTCCTGAGAAAACATGTTAATGCCCTCAAGAGAAGATAGTTACATTTAGCAACAACTACGCGATTGTATTTGTAGGCTATTTAATGCCTTTTTCCTGTTGCTATATTATTTCAGGTGAGTTACACACACAGAAGGGAAAACAACATAACAGCACAACACTACATAGCTCAGACCAACAGAAAAGAGCAGCATGATGCATGGTGCCTGCTTGCTCCTTT